TGCTGTCCGGATGTCCCGGCGTCCAAGTGTCGCGTTGTCCTGCGTTGGGCCCTGCGCTGGTGATGAGGCGATGGTCTGGGAAGTCGTTACACCGACGGCGGTGGCCGGAGGGGCCGGTGAGGACTGGGGTAGCGCTGCCGGATACTGAGGGGCCGGCACGGGCTGCAGTGACCTGTGAGGGTGCTGGGCGACCTTGGATGGGACGAGGCAGAGCCAAACAGCGATTGACGCCGGGTCGCAAGCTGATTTGGAAGTGGAATGGGATGCGCTCTAGTGTGCAGCTGAAACTGATGCACTGTGAATACTGAATATGGGCAAAATAACCATTCAGATGAAAGTAAAGGGTTGTTGTTTCGTCTAAGCCATATCGCATTAAGCGGCATGTGCATTACCTCTGATGCATCTATTTTGGTTTACGGTGCATCAAGGAGCATTACCTCTGTTTTCCACCCTCCAGCACCTTATTTTCGAATCCCTGCCGCGACCTGGAGCCACGATACGACACGACTTTCCGATCTGACATCATAATTGTGCTCACGAGCGGACGGCTTTGATTGGCCTTGGCACGCGGAGGTTGCGTGCGCCAGGTGCGTGAGCCTGTTTGTCCGCCATCCGAGACGATCAAATCAACAGAAGAACTAATGGCCGTCTGCTCGCAGGATGCATACAAAGCCGGACGGATCTAATCTTGAGAAGCGGCGGGATTCGATTCCACCGACTGCGTCAACAACAGAACGGCGCCGCGCGGTCCCGAGTGCGTGCGCCGACCAGTTCCTGTCATAAATCTGGTCAACTACCGGTGACGCTCTGTTAGCACCTTCCGTTCTGTGTAATTTCACCGTTCGGGGCAGCTCACCGGTGGCCGACTGGACTGCAGGAATCCAGACCGCGCGGCCGGCTCGACTGTCTGTCTCCAATCCATCACCCATTCCGCGAGCCTGCCATAGATTAATGACAGTCGCGCCGGTTCGCGCGCAGTGCCATAAATTCGCCGGAGCCGATACTTAGCAGTGGGCAGTTGGTCACTGGCGTGTCGCCGGCTGGGCGCCCGGGGTGCCGCTGCGCCCCGCCGGTCGCTCGCCTGAGAGCCTGTCGTCACTGGACGGTTCGTGTCCCACGGGGTTGATGCATGGCCCGAGCGGGCCCTACGTGCCCATTACGACACTGGTTCACCCATTAGTGACGATACACGCCACCTAACGAGCACCGATCGGCCTTTACAGTAGTAGAAACACGGCCCGGTCCGCCCACCGCCGGCGCCACGCCGAAATCGCTGCAGTGGACGCCGCTGCAGGCGAAGGCGCAGTTGAGGGTAGCGCAGGTGAGGGTGGAGTTGCTTCAGTGTTTTTGTTTGCAGTTGCCGCTGTTGCAGTTGAAATTACTGCAGTTAGCGGTGCTGACCTGTCACCGTTGCCAGTTTTGGTCGAAGAACGAGCACAGAGTCACCTCAGCAGGCTGAACCGCTCGGTGGTCCGTGTCGTGGCGGGTTCTGCGGTGACGGCGGCAGCGGTGGCTGAACGGTTGCTGCAGACTTCACCACACCTGCTGAGTGCGCTGTCCCCTCCCCCATCGTAAGGGCTATTTTACCGTGCAGAGTGGGCGACGGCTAGGCCTTCTGGACAGACAGCAGAAGTGGAGCGCGGTCGCCGACAGTGCCGGCCACAGGAGTCTGCAGCCCGGGCGAAAATGACTCCGAGCAGCGAGGTGTGCCCGGCCTTTGTCATGCAATCAAAGCGCCATAAAACACCGCTAATGCTGTGCTGTATGATTTATGTTGGCCAGGGGCTGGAGATGAGACATCGAGTCTGTGTTCTCGCTGCCATCTTCATCTAATTTTAATTGGTGGCATTCAGTAGTCCCCATTCCTCATTTCTATCCAATCACGCGACAAATAACTTTGGTTAAAGGAATATCTACCCATTATCATAGATGTAATATCATAGGTATAACGTAACTTCCAAATATACTGAGCTCGAATAAAAAATAAAATTGAAAATAAGTTTGAAATATAAAAAAAAAACGTAACACTTATATAATGTGGACTAGCTTGAATACCAGTGGCCGGCCGTGCCTACATTGCATAAGCTCAAGATTCATGACGCACGTCTTATACCGTGTAGTGCGTAAGCTAATCTTCTGTATGCTATTTTCCTCCTCAGACTGGTAGTTTCCAGGAGGGGAACGGTCAGAGGCGAGCGTCGTCCACTTATTCGCACACCTTTATTCCTACGCACCACTTCATATCGACCAGGCCAGACGCCGAGACCCCGTCGAGCACCTCTCACGTCGGCCGGTCGTCTCGTCGGAGCCGACAGCTCCATGGTCGTCGGCGACTACAGCTCAGCCGCCGCCGCTGGGCCCGCGAGGGTCACGGCGTCGCTGCAGGCGGCCCGGCGGCGGCGGTGGCCCGCTGGGAACGAGCCAGGCCAATCAACGCCGTCCACCACCGGAAATGAAGAGCAAATAACCTAATGGATGGCTAGCGGCGTCCGCGGCGCGACTGGCCGGCTCCAGCCAGCGCGCGGCTCGCCGGCCGGCCTGCGCACGGGGAGTGGACGCGGCGGCGGCGGCGGTGGCGGACCGCGCAAACAATCTGTGTCGGCCGAACGTGGTCATTTATCTCACCCCCCAGTTACATATTTATACGGTTCGTCGACACCGCATCGGCCGCGCCGGAGCTGTCGATTCGTCTTACGGCGTTCGCGGCGCTCGGGCGACGAGCGGCGGCGGCGGTGGAGCAGAGAGACCGGTGCGGAGGCGGCGGGCATATTTCACCGAGCCTGGTCCGTCCATCCGACCGGCCGGCCGGCCCGCCACCGTACCCTAATCCCATTAGCCGTGGAATTTTAACCAATCCAGCAGAACTGGTATACAAACAAGTTGTGACTAATTAAATTAGCGTGAAATGAGCGGGGCAGGCAGGCGAGAGCGATAAAAATGAATCATGGTCCGGTCGGAGCCGCAAGTACCTGTTTATGGGCGCCGGGATCTTGTTTCCGTGGCCTGGACCGTTTAGACACACAATAGTGAAGCCAATATCTGAACACTTATATCGTTCCCATGCTAATAAGGAGGCTGTGCAGCGTCCAATGGCCCGCTCGTTGGGCGCCAATGTTACACCGACATGAACGGACGCGCGTCATTTCACGCCGCGCCGACATGCCGGGGGCCAATTGCCGGGCGTTCCGAGTAGCCGGTGCGGCTCGGACCACGATGGAATGTGGCCGGGTACCGAGAGCCAGGCCGGGCCGGGGCGAATCGGGGCGAACCGGGGCGAACAAGGCCGGGGAGGGCGAGTATCTGCCTGGAGACTAGCGTAGACGCTCAACTTTCCATCAAACTGTTTATCGCTGCCGTGCTTTGACGCCGTCTCTCACCTTACTGGAGCGATACCCAATAGTGACCTTACAGGGACCCGGAGCGACCTAAGAGGGGCCCGATGGCGACCTAAGAGGGGCCCGATGGCGACCAGAGAACGGCCTGAGAGCTGCACGGGAGCGGAGCCGGCCGGGGAAGGTCGGAGCGCCGGCGCCGGCTGCCCGTGATGGCCGCTCGCGCCGCGTGCAAGGCCGTCCGATTGCGTGCCGCGCCGAGACCGCGCAATGATCAGGCAGTTTTGGCCGGTAGTGGTCAGAAGCACTGAGCCGCGCTGCCGCCGGCCCGGCGTTTCTCAATTGGAGGCTGTGGTACAGGCTGGTCACGTGGCTGCTTTTCTAGGTGTTCTGTGCTGGTGATAACACATCCCCGACCGCATAGTGAATCTTCAACTCACTGCTGTATGCCATGGTCGCCACGGTTGGGTCGGTTTCAGCGAATTCAGCTCATTACAGTTTTAGTTGTTTTCCTCAATAGCGTTGGAAGCGGGGGCGGCGATGCGCGACTTCTGTTTCTATGTGCGGATTTCTGAATAACCAGTAGCCACCCTAACAACACCACTGCCGCCCACGCCGCAACGGTGGCTTACACGAGGTACCCCGACCGCCTCGGCACCGCGACTCGCGCGCGCCGCCGGCCGCGCGCGAGTCGCTCGCGCCAGTCGCGACTCGCCGCGCGCCGCCGACCGCGCGCGAGTCGCTCGCGTGCGTCCGCTTTGTCCGGTCGACTAACCGGGGGCGGGCCGGGCGACAGCGGTCATACATTAGGCCAAACCGTATGACTGATGAGATTGTGTCTGCTCGACGGCGCGTAATGGCGAGATGGTGTGAGGACACGGACCGGGGAGCGTATCGCCGCGCGGCGTGGCCTATCGCCGGACGGGCACGCGCGCCGCACGGACGCCGCCGCTAGAAAACGACTCGCTGTCCTGCCGGCCTGCCGACGGCGGCTGGTGGCTGCTAACGACTGCGGCAGTGGTTCCCTCATGCCAGTTAGCATGCATGGACATTTCCCAGGCTGTAATTCGTCACCATGGCAACCCGCTGCTAGTATGACGTGACGCTCCGTGCTTAATTAATCGGAGAGCTCCGATCATCACGAAAAAAAACGCATGCCTACTGCCGACTTCCTCAATGCAATTGCGGTTGACTCATGGCGTAAGCGTAGTTTTGTACACGATTGTCGTCGTTTACGGCCAATTACTGCATCATGCAATTCGCGATGATTTGCAAAGAACGGTCGCCGCTCTCAGAGTGCGCTATCCGGTGACGACCGGAAAGCTCCATATCCTCTGCAATGGTCCTGTTTATTACGCTCTAAAGCCCACAGGTACAAACTGAGTCCGGAATCGGTATACGGCATATAATCGCTTTACAGCCCGGCCGGGCATTAACGCGCCGGTGCTGCTCAAATAAAAATTAAATTAGATTCGACGCGGCTTTGTGTGCGTCCGACGGTTCTAGCCGAGCGGAGAATGGGGATGAGGCATAACAGGTGGGTATGTGAGCAGTCGCTCTCACAGCCTGCCCGGCGCGGAAGGTCGCGCAAATGGAAGGTCTGTAAGTACAGTGTGGCCGGCAGGTTACAATCAGTTCAGTTCATAGCTCGGCGGTCAAGTCACATACCTGGATGCGTGCCTCGGTGAGACCGACTTTCATGGCCAGCTCCTCCCTGAAACAGAAGGCGGTGGTGTCAGCGCACGGAGGCGGCGGCGGCGGTGGTGCACAGAAGGCGGCGGTGTCCGCGTTTTTCCGCGCCCGATTGACGTGTTGTGACAGTCCGCTTTGAGCGGCGCTCGTGTTGGGGCGACGTTGACAGCGCCGCCCATCCTCATAAATATAAATACGCGCCGACGCGACATGCGCACTGTGACGCGCTGTGTTGACAAGTGTTCAGAGGCGTCTGAGACCGGCGCTCGCGCAGCTTATCTCAGCCAATGGACAGTCACCGTTATTCGGCAATGAGCGTCGCAGGATGTGTACGTAGAAAATGTGATCCACTCTGCATTAGATTTGTGTTTTGTGCAGCCTAGAAGCGTCTTCAGTGAAAGAGTTTTGCATTTGTTTTTGGGTCTTAATCAGACACCTGTCCAAGTCAGAGACAGGTGACGCTGAAAATATGTGACGTTAACGCTCCCTAACGGTTTTTATATAAAGCTGTCAATGGTTACGTGCCACTGACTGACGTTCTTCTGATGTGACGACCCTATTAAGAAGGCTGTTCATGACATCGTACTGCTTCACTGCATACTATGCCAAGACACTGAACAATCGGAATCGATTAGGGGATAGAAGGAGGAATGACCGTTGACATACTAAACAGCCCACAGGAGTTGAATATTGGCGGACCCTATGGCATTTGACCTTTTGATTTAGACGGCGACAGCAGGCAGCAGGACGCGAATCGCCCTAGCAGCCCCGTACCCACCTGGTGAACACGTCCGGGTAGTGTGTCCGCGAGAATGCCTTCTCCAGCTCCTCCAGCTGAAAACTGGTGAACGTCGTCCGGTACCGCCTCTGCTTCCGCTTGGGCGGAAACTCGGCGTCCATCTCGGTGTCTCCGCCGCCGGAGGCGCCCTCGCCCGCGTCAGCCGCGCCCGACGCCTCCTCGTCATCGTCGCCCTCGCCCTCGACATCAATGGGTCGGTCGTCGTCGCTGGCGGCGCCGGCGGCGGCGGCGCGCTCCGGGTCGGCGCCCTCGGCGGCCGCCGTCATGTCGGCGCGCACGCGCAGCAGCTGGACGGCGTCGCGCGGCGCCGGAGCGGCGTCCGGTCCCGGCGGCACGGCGGCGCGCTCCGAGACGCCCATCGTCTGTGACGGCTGCGGGCTGCGGACCGACGACTCGGGGGTACTCGCGGCCGCGCGGGTCGTCGAGTAATCTGCGGGCGGAGAGAGGGGCGGTGTTAGCGCTCGTGGTGCCAGAAGCGAGACTTTGAGAGGGAAGAGAGATGTACTGTGACATCTGAGAGTTTTTCAGGTGCCGAGGTCGAAGCGATGTTCATTGCTGATTGCTGAACATGGTAGAGTCTAGAGAAGTACGAAATAGCCGATACAATTGCTCGGGTTTAGGCCACAGCTGTTGCAAAACGACTTTCTTGTTTCCTTCACTAAAGGTGTTCCTGGTGGCACACTTTAGACGGTGACCCTCACGTGGTGCCCCGTGCCATGGTTTCTGTGTTAGCTCAGGGTCCTGGAGTTCATACCACCTGTGTCGATCGGGGCCCCGCGGGTCAGACCACCATGGGGTCAGTTCGGGGCCCCGGGGTCTGACCACCCCGGGTCCGTCCGGGGTCACCGCTCTGCCAATCAATATCGGCACCTCGGTCCACTGACCGGTCCGTCCAGCGCCGGCGCTTCGACCTAATCGCATGCGTTGGCCGCGTTGCAGTGCAGTGCAAATATTTTATTGCCAGACACCACGCGATTGATGGCTATCGCATTCCGACGGCTGAAAACGAGCTGTTTCTACAAATTGTACACGGCACCTGAGCTATAGGCGCCGAAGTCGGGACTGGCCTCTGCGAGGAACTTTGGCGACACTTGGGGCGGCGTAAATGTCACGTGATTGGTGTAGGTATGCTGCGACAAACTGACCACAAGGTACTATCTGCAGCGGCGAACATGATGTAATTACTGTTACAGCCTCGCCTCGCGTGTTGCTTGTCGTCTAGTCGTAGCGAAAATTATGCCAAGTTGCTGTCATAACACTTGACCACAGCCTCAACTGTCGCAACACGCTGAGTGAAGCGCTGATCAGAAATAGCACGGCATCTGTGTGACTGTGCTCCATTCTGCTTCATTATGGCAGCTTTGTTGTTACATCCGTCACTCCTGCCGACAGTTTCTCCGGCATTAAGTCTGACGCTGACGGCACAATGAGCCCTCCCGGCCCGGCCTTCCCCACTGGAGAACGGAGGTGCGACCTGTGCTCTGTTAGCACCTGTGATGGATCGACGCCTCACACGCGGCCCGGCCCGGTCTGTCTACACGCCAGCTCTGTGATTTGACACAGTTGGGGCGCGACTGGCGCCGTATCAACGGGATATAAAAACGTACAGATGAGCAAACTGAAGGAGCCTATGTAGCTGCAACTTAAGCATTTTGGCTCTGCGACGGCCCTCAATAAGGCGGTGATGCCTTTGGGCTTTTAATGGATTAACATTTGAATTGCTAATTTGTTTTATTCATTGCTTGCTCATTTTATGAAATTCCAAACGATGTCAACGTTAATTACATTCACTATACTGCAGAGCCAGGGTCGCTCTTCAGGCTGGAGCTTGAGGACCTTCGAGCATCCGTCGTTTATTCGTCCTCTCCAATAGCCGCGCTATCCAGCCGTACCGAACAGCCGTGTCCGTGTCGAAATACAAACAGACTATGTAATAGAAGCCGGCGCCGGCGCCATCAAACAATTACATCAATTGCGTCCCGCGCAGGCGGAACCGATTGTTTTACTTCCCAGCACGTCTGGCCCGGATGGTTTCCGGTGGCGGGCGGGGGCGGGGGCGGGGGCGGCTCACCACGAGCCAACATGGCGTCCGCGGGTCGGCTGTCGCTCCGCCCGGGGCTAAACACACAGCTGGTGTGGGTGAAATGGTGTAACGACATCGTGATACGACCCCGCGCAGCCGGCGGGGGCGGGATTTTCGACGGTCACCTGCCGCTTTAGGACAGCCATGGAGGAGTGTGCGAGGGGTAGAGAAGCAGGAAGAGAGGGGACAGAGGTGGAGCACGCGCCCTGGAACAGAGACACCGTCCAGAGGGCGGTTCTCGGCGGCGGCTGTCGCTGATGTCGCCGAAGTGACAGCTGTTTGTCGTCGGCGGGCCGGCGCGGCGGGACGCGGCCCCGGCGGCCGATACCATCGGCGGCTCGCGACGCGGCGCCGCCCTTCTCACCGCGCCGGCACCTGTGAGCTGGCCGATACCGGCCGATATACGGGCGATATACGGGCGATATTGACAGGGAGCCGCCCGAACCGGCCGGCCGGCGGCGCGGCTCCCGAAATTTGTATTGTTTACAAATATGACGGCGGCGCGGCAACTCCACCCGTGCTATCTGATGGCTCGGACATGCGACACCGGCCGGGGCGGCGCCTCACTCGGCCGGCTATGAGAAATGGAGGGGAAGGGAAAGGTGCATCACAACCATCGCAGTGATGTGATCTAGTGGGCGGCGTGCCACCTTTGAAATGAGATCATCCTAATATGCTGTTTAGACACGAAATTCTTCAGAATAACTTCCTCGTCAGATATGCATTATACATGTTGGACACGAAAGAAAATAGAACATAACGTGTTCAGGTAATTAAAAACCGTGTAAAACCAAGTTTCTTGCGAAACACTTTTGACACAAAAATGTAAATCGTGCAACTTAATAAAGCGGGCCTGTCGTTTTCCCCTTTGTCGGCGCGGCGCGGCGCGGCTATCGCGCCAGCTGGCGGCATCAGCGGCGCGTCAGTGGCACTGATGGCGCGATACGAGGCGCCGCTAAATCCGCTCCGGCTACCGCCCTTCCCGAGCCATTGTCCTGCCATTACCCTGGCTCCCCGCCCCCCGCCGACGACCCCCTCCCTCCTCGGCAGCGGCACTCCAAAGCCGTCCTCTGCAACCGCACTTTAAACTGGCCCCGCTTATCGGCGCCGAGACGCGCCAGCCCAGTGGCGGCGGCGACTGCGGCGCTCCTGCGGCGACTGTGGCGCTCCTGTGGCGCGGCGCGGCGCGGCTCTCAATACCTCGTCTGTCGACGGACAGCGGCGCTGACGGCTGGCCACTTTGTCAAAACGCAGCGGCCACGCCGGCGCATGCTGAGGAGAGGAGACGCACGCCGGCGACCGATGGTATCGCGGCGCGCGCTGACAACACCGGCCCGTCGCGGCGGCGCGCGCTGAGCGACTGAGCCGACACACAGCGGCACGGCGGCGCGTGCTCTCCCACTGTCGGAGCGACAGTCGGCGAGGTGGGGATGTTTGCTGCTGATAATGATTCTGGGTTTGGCCGGGTATATCCGACTTAGTGCTAATTATGAAAGGACTTGATACATTTATAACTTGTCAGGAAGGACCATGGCATCACTGAAGTCTGAAGTCCGCAACGTGACTGTTGAGACAGCTCTTTTCGTCTATACCTACGAGCGTGGGGAACTAGGTTTCCAATAATTTATGACCACCACGGTGGTCTGAGAAGGAATTCCAGCATACCGATTCGCCGTGATTCTCTCACCAACCGAGGACGCTTGGCTGCGCTGAACAGTGGACACTGGACAGCGGACATGAAGACCGAGCCGGACAGGCCGGCCTGCGGACACGGTGTCTGCTGCCGCGCAGGCTGACAGATGAGCCGGTCTCGTATCGGCCGCCATGACAAGTGCGCCATAACGTGTGAGGAGTGACACGGCTGCGGCGTGCATTTATCACCCCGCCGCACACTGGTCGGAAACGCCCTCACGAGAGGCCACGGGCGATTCCGGAGTTTCGGATTATTCTTTATATAGATCGATTTGAAATTGATCAAATTATTATACTTAGGCCAAAAAAACTAATTCGGGTGACCAAAATAACTGTAATCAGCCCCCGAAGATGGGGTATCCCAGAACTCGGAAACTGACGCGGAGCAAGAGGTTTCTTGAGCCGGATATTCAGAGTCTTATTGCTGATAGACAACAAATTGAAATCCCACATATTATGCATCAAAATGTTCGTTATGAAGTTGCCGACTGGTCAGTGCAAAATTTTTGGTATACTTTTTCCCTAACTAAGATTTACTGTAGCTTTTTTATGAAGGCTCTCCTACAGTAATTCTGGAATATAACTGCAAAGTTTAGGTAAGGAAACAACAGGTAGTCCCATCTAGTTCCACTCTGATTTTTTGTGAGATGAAGCAGGATTTAAATTTACACCAGGGCAACATAAAAGCTAACTGCGCATATTTGCGCAAAATTTGCAGGAGCCCCTCTTCCTACCCAACTACCGCCCGCCCCGCCCCAGTTTCGGCTCGGCCGCCGCGCCCGGCTTACGTTGACCTGTGTGGCCTGCACGCATCCATGCGTAGTTGACTGGTCATTAAAAATAGATGCGCTTGAGTTAATGAATTTTGTGAAAAGCGCGTTTTATGTATGCATTTATGCATGCATTGACATCAAAAGCCTTCCACATATTGCGTGGCGATTACGGCTTGCATTTAGAGAGCCTTGCTATTGACAACCATCACTCGGCTGAAGAAAGTGGAAATTGAAACCTTCGTGAATATAAGACGCTGCAAATATAGGACACCTGTCACTGACGTCGGGTTACCTTGGGCCGTCTTTTTACATTAGATCACAATTCCGGTATTTAACCCTCGCCGGCCGAGGGGGGGGGGCGGGTGCCGCCCCCCCCCCATAGGGTTTTTTCGCGATAGCTCCGAACACGCTGGCGATAGAGAGCTGAAACTTGGCATACCTGACCTTTGATCCAAGCCGCATCTTTTGACACCAACCGCATTTTTGGGTCAGGTCAGGTCACTGACCTATGACGTCATAAGTGAACCTCTGCACGGTCTTCAGATGTCGCAACTTCGCAACGCCCTCACTGCCAGAGGAGATGTCACAGGGAAATGAAACTTGCAGGATCTAGTATCCATTATGAGTCCCACAACTTATATATCTCGGATTTTTCCTAAAGGTCATATGAGGTCAGGTCATTTTCGTGACCTCACCATTATAAGTCAATGGGGAAAAATGAAAACTGCTATTCTGGCGCCGGGAACGATCTCCAACTATCTCAAGCACACAGAATCGTGATTTGATGCACTCCTTGCAAAGTTAGATGCGTCACTTTTGCAATGTTGACCTTGCGTGACGGCATTTATGACGTCATCAAGGTCATATTAGTTTTTCGTCAAT